GCGAAGCCGCGGATAAAGTCTACTTTTTTACAATAAATGTTAAGTATTGCTTCAGTAACAATACATATATGCTATTGCATATTGGCAGGTAGTAACTAATAAAGTAAACAATAGTTTTGTTGTTTATGTATCTTTCCGTAAAAAAGTTACAAATTCGCTGGTCTTTATAATGAAATTTAAAATCACGTTTACAGAAAATTATCACAGTTTCTTATTATCGGTAATTACTATAAATATTGAATGCAGAAATAATAAAACCTTGAGGAAAAAAAGATGAACCAATTACAATACTATTGATATCACAAATATTTCGTGAAAAAAGAATGATATTAATAATATCGATTATCGACTTTAATCTGCAAACACCTTGTAAATCAGTTTCAACATCGTAGTTTTATATAGATATATTTAGGTGTGTATCATGTCCACAATACATAGATATTATATTACAGGGTAAGCATGTGACAGGAAGTTATTCACAACAAAGGCAGCAAAAGGTTTGCAAAACTTAGAGTACCCAGTTTTGAGTCCGTCTTTTCAGGATTTATCATAATCTAGAGAGGTGTTATTGTACCTCGCGCATTATCCCAAGCAGCCCGATGTTTGCTCTTCGATAAACCGAAGAAAGGAGATCTATTCCGTAAATTTTTATATCACAAAATCAACAATAAGAGAACACACATTTGAGACAAGGCGAGCTGTTCAGTTCCAAGTGAGAGACGCCCATACGTGTGTATATGTACACGAATTTACGTTTGTTACACATAGGTATCTATTTAAACAGTAATATGTGTATTTCAGTTATAAAATTAAACAAATACCAAGGAGGAAATGTATTATCTGACCAGATAAAGAAACGCCTGGTATTTATCCACATTTGCCTTTGGCTTAGGCAAATAAGAGTCTTTGTGTGAAACGCGATAAGCAAGACAACAACACAGGCTTCTTATTTTATTTTTCGTCACTTTCCCACTTTTTCTTCCCTTTTAACAATACCTCCTATAATAACGACCACGCACACGATAACGCGTTTCCAAATCTTTTTTAACGACCACAATAAAGCAAAAGATCCGCATTAGACGTCGTAAATTATTTTTATTCTACCGATTCTACCAACTAATCTACCGTTAATCCCGCGGATTTAGAAGATCTTGTACGCTGAAAAACCAACTAAAAAAACACAATATAAAACGATTATTAAAGTTCACTTTAATCTCGTCTTATCATCTCCGTATACTCTAATTTAGATGTAGGTAATCTGTTTAGTATTATTATGACTTTTGTTTAACATTTAAGCAGTCATTCAAAGTACATAAAAGAATATTGCATTTATTATTTCTAAAATATGATTTTTTCATGGGTATGCGATTTTCGGGTTTCAACTGTTTATATAAGAGGTTTTTAACGAGCGACTGAATTTAATTACACTTTTACCTGCCATATTTGATCCACAGCTAAGATGTACCCTGTACCTTCTTAGACATAGCATTAGCTTCTTTGGTGGAATAACTGGAATCGGCACACATAAATTAAACGGAGGGGACGTATATTTTGATTTGTCGAACTAATGTGCAACTTTTAAAATTTTCTTAAAGTAATTCAAATGTGTATTTTATCAAAGCTGTTATTATTGAACTGGATAATTATATGCAGCTAAGGCAAATTGAGTGAAAATTCATAATTTAGTGAACATGTGGAAAATGTTTTTCCAACCGCATCTATATATTTGAAAATATCGCCGCGACTACATAAAACATAGCTTAATACCCCTCAAATGGTTTAATAAATTGCATTTATTGGACATCTAAATATTACAGTATTATCTACAAGAAAAGATGGCTGAAGGTATTTGTACGAATTTCCCTATACCACGCAGTATTCATCAAATGCCACCCTTTTTGATGATTGCATGTAATAAACCTCCTCTACGTTCGGTATTCAATTCGCCACTAGTGTGGGTAGATTATACAATTAAAAGTATTTTCAGGGCTAGACGAGCAGGAAAAAACCCATCACCCACNAAAAAATACAAAATTGAATGAGAAATATATTTTACCAATGAGAAACTGTTCACTTTTACAATGTAGCAACGGTATAACACATATTATTTCTTTACTTTCGTCACTAACATTAAGATAAACCACTTTTTTATCAACATCTATGATTTTACAGGTAGTAATATTTTCATTGTTTGCAGAAACTATAGGTACATTTCTAAATATTTAGCATCCCATGGATACGTATAAAGGGATATTCTTTTTCGTAGTAGTTTTCCACAAATTTCAATACAATTTATGTCTCCATTTGGTGGAATATATCACATATTTGTAAAATTTGTTTGCTCTTAAGTAATATTGTGTTATTGAGCTCTTTTTTAATCAATAATACTTTAAATTGCAATCGTTTTACTGTTCTTCGACTTAATAATATATCAGGAAGTACACTTGTTGGTTCATTGCAAATGTGAAAGATTTCATTGAAACGACGACATAATTAGGCAAGGGGATTGTTACCATTTTTTATAAATTTTTCCATTTTACCTAGGGTACTTTCAAACGGATTTGTCTCATCGAGCCCCAATAAGGTAGATTTAATTGTAGGTTTATACATGTGTTAGGTTTGCCCCTTAAGACCCATATGAAAAACCCATAAGGCAATCCTCATTTTAGTATCACCACTTTTTTGGTGGGATTCTCATGAGGAATCTACGGGGAAATCCCTACATCGGTATGCTCCTCATTAGCCACATGAGGCCCGCACGCTAGATAGGGCATGCCCCTTATAAACTCTAGTCAGGTATTTATTGGGTAACTGAAGGTGCAACTTTCATTACTATTTTAAGCAACGCTGAGTATTCTAGCCAAATCGAATCAATATTGAGTATTATAAGATTTTTGGTTGTAACCTTCCCGAACATCGCATTTCAGAACAACCTTTAAGAAATTAAATGCAGTGATCAAAGCTGCAGTCATATAGGGCTTCTATTCAGAATGCTATGTGTCTAATAATTTTTAAGAGGATTTTACCTTTTTTCAGTAATTAACCAGTTTTCTATTCTGATAAGTGTTCTATATACACGTTCTATATCTTCGAAACTTTTCAATGAATCCTATCATCCACTGAACTATATAAAACTGTTGTTAGGTTCCTATACCTACATACATATAACTAAGTCTGCGTCTACAAAAGATAATGCAGCTATTGTGCATAGGACACGGCAACGCTCCTCGTCGTATTCAGGAGAAGATTGTCTCCGACAGAGGGTGAGAGGGTGCCGCTGTCCCAATCCCGGTGAACACAATGGAGCTTTTCACACGTCGCGCTTTGACGTCCCTTTGTTCTAACTTGTCGGTAATTTGGATACTGTACCTTCGCCATTATTACCACATATTCTTAAAATACATTCCTATTTAGTTAATTGACATCCTTTTGTTTATATAATAGTTATATATGTGTATGTGTATCTTGATGCATAATTTAAAACTCGAGCTTTCAGGTAAAAATATTGCAAAAGTTAATTGTTACATAAATGTGCAAAACCGATTACTCGTTTATAGTTTAGCACCTAATAGACCGTTACATCCATTATTAGTAAACGATTAACTTTAAGATTTTATTATGTGGATAATTAATGTGAGTAAACAAAATAAATAAAATGAAAAAATTATTTTTTAAAACAGTCTGAAATACCAATTAACTAAGTTTTAATAAATCTTTGTTTCTAATGATGAGCTCAAAATGTAACGATATTCTGTAGAAGTCTAATTAAATAATCGAACGGTGCCTTACGCTTACCTTCCATATCCGCCATGTTGTTTAATCGAATTTTTGAAGTGAAATACATTTATACAATAAATGAAGGTTTTGGGAAGTGAAACTTCTTTACGCACGGTAGGGTAAGTTCGTTTCATGCGAGTTGCTATGTAACGAAATCATGCAACTAGGGTTGCCACCCGTACTTTATTATAAAGTATTGTACTCTATTTCGACTGTGCGTGCGTTATATTTTACAAGACACATAAACTACGCAAAAATACTTTATTTGGCCTTAAGTAAACATCGTAATTTTGTAAGCGATTATTCGAATATTAGAGTATTTTTATATCAATAATATTGCACAGAAAAATGACAAGCCATATATTTACGGAACAACCTGATTTCCCAAATCTGTTCAAAGTAGTGTCACTTTTGCTGTCCGTTCCGGCCACTTCAGCATTTACAGAAAGAGTATTCTCTGTTATGAATGCAAAGTGGCGGGACAACAGGAATAAAGCTTCATTAAAACTAATTAAAAATGAACTTTTAGTTTACTTAAATCTTTGTTTGCCATGTTTAGAGGCTATTAATATATTTAAGAACGACAGCAATTTGTTACTGGCTGCTAGGTGTAACAAAAAATGTGTTTTTAAAAACAAAAAATAAAATACTAACATTATTTTTATGCCGAGTACTTTTTTTTAACCTTTTAGTCGAGAAATACTTTATGTAAAGCCTGAAAAGGTGGCAACCCTACATGCAACGGATGTCCCCCCCCTCTACTCGGCCACGTAGTCGAGTTCGTAGTGGGGATCGCTTAAGCCGTGAACGCGCTTCAATGCAACGTTCGTTACAGGCAACTCCGGCATGTATAATGTAAAATTAAAATTCATAGTGTACAAATAATACCATTAAACCGATTCCTTAACCCCTATCCCGGTATGTTCGTGTGTTTGAAGAAGTTTCACTTCAGTAGCGTGTTGTATAACTACACGTTATATTTTTATTTAAAGATCAGTAATATTTTAGCGTGTCGAGCGGGTGTAAATGTTAATATTCAATAGTAAGGTCATAGATAGTGGCCGTGTCTAAAGGCCTACCGACGAATTATGAGACGATAGACAAAACTATACGCCATCGACAACGGTTCCCATATGTACAACAAATATCTATGTATCAATAAATATAATTAGGAATGATTATATTTCGTTCTTCTGTAAGAGGCCATTCTTTTTTTGTTACAGAGCCCTTCATATGAAGGAGCATCCAGACTACAAATATCGTCCACGACGGAAACCGAAATCGATAATAAAAAAGGAACCTAAATTCGGTTTTCCCATTTCACCCTTGCTTCCTTCAGCAGTTGATCAGGGTATTCACAGATCAATGTTACCAGCCATATCTTGTTCGTCGGGCTTACCGCCTCTACTAAATCCTGATCCTGACCATTTAAAATTGTCGAGATCCTTATTCCCACCTTTGCCATATTTGTACCCGTTTCGACATCCCGATGAATCTAAGTTTGCGGCAGAACTTGCACTTCTTTACAACAACAGCCACTTTTGTCCACCTACCATCACGTGGCCACTAGGAAGTTTAGCAACCAGTGCCAGCAGTACGTGCAATATATGCCCTCCAACTTTCACAAGGTATGAAAATTTTCAGTGGAAAATGTATGTATGCATATGTTATAATCAAAGTGCGAAATGCGGACTCTTCACAGAAGAACTACAAAGGGCCAATAACTTTGTGGGGTGCGTGACGTTAACAGATAAATATGCTAGACTCCAATCTATTAGCGAGACTGGAGCTGGATGATGAGATGACTATTGAAGGTTGGCTGCAATCAGTCACTTTGTTAGAGATGGTAAACTTGGAGAGATGATCCAGGAGACGTTAGTTGCTTAAATCTACAAGCAATTGATGGTGGGCCAAGAAATCGGCGCCAATTATTTATTTGTTAACACCAGCAATTATAAATCGCCATGCGAATTTTCTACGTAGGTCTAAGTTAAGGGACAGGTTGATGTACCCGTAGGTCGAAATGATGGTGTCATTTGTTGCTTGTGGCGTGAAAAATGAGTCTCGCAATAGACTCATCTTCTTCTGACTATTAACCTGGCATATTTTAGACCAAAGTCATATCATCATCCAGCCCCAGTCTCGCAAATAGACTAGATACTGGCAACCCTATCTGTTAACTACACACACTCTACAGCTCATTCGTTTTTAATCATATCTCAGGCCTAATTCCATTGATGCCCGTCCCTTTAATGCCCGTGAAATCATTTTACCTGAAATAGTGGCAGTGCTATCCGTCTAAAAACATTAAAAGATGGGTGGTGGTGGTGGTGGTTGGGGTGAGAAAGACGAGACGGACAAAATGTAGACAGACGAGAGTGAAAGATTATATCTGTGAAATATTTAGTGTCCCAGAGTTTGCCTGAGTGATCCAAGGAAACCACAGAAAACTTTGAATCAGTGCAGACGGATCCGGAATCAAACCGCTGTCCTGTCCAATGCTAATCAATGATCTAATCCTGTGCTTACCACTGTTAATAATATTTCACTCATGAATTTGAGGATCATGAATAAAAAATGCACGCAAGTATCATGAAACTTCTAAAACATTCGAAAGATTATTCTACAAAATATCATTTCTTTCACGCAACAGAGCTAAATTTGTCTTCAAAAAGAAAGACAACGAGACAGGGAATAATGAAACGTATAGTGGAACAAATAGAATATACTGGTGGCGTTTGCCTTGATTTAAAACGGTTACGTTATTCAGCAAATTTTTTATTGTGTCATTAACAACTATTAGGATAATTATGGTTGTAGGACACTGTGTATAATATACTTGTTAAAATATGCATATATTTACCTACAAAAAACAAGAAAATTCTAAGACGATTGTTAAAGGTGTATGTTTGGAGCGTGGCGCTGTACGGGTGCGAAACATGGACAGTGGGTGCAGCGGAAAAGATAAAGGTTAGAAGCGTTCGAAATGTGATGATACAGACGAATGATGAGGATATTGTGGATAGAGAAGGTTAGAAATGAAAAGATATTAGAAAGAATAGGAGAGCAGAGGACTATAGAAATCAATAAGAAATAGGCAAGATAAGTTGATAGTACACCTTCTCAGGCATGAAGGTCTAGCCAGAGACATATTAAAGGCCGAAACGGAAGTTAGGAGGGGTAGAGGTAGACCTAGATTAGATTACTGTTCGCAAATAGTTAAAAATATGGGTTGTTCTAGTTATAGGGAAATGCGAAGTTTAGCTCAGGATAGGAAAGAGTGGAGATGCGTGTCCAACCAGTATTAGGACTGGCGACCTTATAATAATGATGATGATGATGATGATGATGATAATGTTCCCTTTACTTTTGCATTCAAAAATTTTATTAAAATGAATTATTATTTTTAACAAAGACGAACATGCAGCACTGCCACTATACATCTAACGGACAGCAATGCAGTGGGACTAACTCAGATCTCACATCAAATGACTCCAAATCGATCAAACAATGCTCTCTTTGATATGTAATTGATAATTAATTGATCGAAACAATGGAACCCCAGCTCTTCGCATAGTAGTGTGTGCGGGTGCTAAAACTGGTGAACTTTTAGGTTCATTCTTTTCTTATTATTGCTGGCTGATTAATCTTTTATAGTGAAAGGTCGATATGCGCGAAATGATTTGCCTATCCTTAATATGATCAACACCCTCTGGTAATCCCCGCTCCTGACTAATCGAAATTTTGGGAAATAAACTAACGCAACCTAACTTAACCTTAACCTAACCTACCCTAATATAACAAAAAACACAACTGGTTTGGATTTTGATAAAATCTTATTATAGCATTCCAGTCCCATTTACAATTATTTATTTTTATTAAATTAGAAGATCCCCAAGTCCATCAGAGGCTATAAAGAGGCCGGTATGTGTTATAATGAAAAATGAGGACGTCCGGACGGAATCAGCGCCACCTATACCTACACACGTCATATGAAAACCGCTTCCGGTTCTTCCCGAGAGGATGAACCTTCCATGGTGGAACGCGCATACTGTCGTACCTACTGCTGGTACCGCTACTTCATCATCTTCGTCAGTGATACTTAACGATAATGACAATGATAATGAATAAAATGCAAGTCTTAAAAAAGACCGTTAAATTATTGTAAAATATGTAAATTAATCTTGAAAATGGATCTTAAATGAAAACGTTGCATTGTTGTAGTTTCGTCCGTGTTATTAAAAGACGGTGATATCTTATACAGCATTTACTGATCCAAACGTCTATCACAAATAATAATATAAACGCATCTTTAGAATCTATTAGCAACATTCTATTGAAATTATTCTGCAAATGGTGAATACTGTCAACAATCTAGAACAATAAGTAAATGGAATTCCTACTTTACTCTACAAAAAAGCAAACACAATATTAATCAACGTTAAAAAAAACTCAAATAAGAAATGGTCAAATTTACAATATCGCTCTCTGGTTTACACTACACGTTTGTAAAAATAAACAATGAATCTTTTGTTAATGAGAAAAGTTGATGGTAATGTAGCGAATGTCATATAGAAGAAACCAATCCTTTCACATAGTAATCATTTCAAAGGCGATTATTGCAACTTTTTAAGCGTTTTTCCTTTGAATCATTCTTATATTCCATGACAAAATGAATCCTAACAGCAAAATTATTATTTAATGTTTATGATAACGTGCAATAATGTGTATTGTTTTTACTACTGAGAATTTATAAATCGTTCATTCTCATGTAGAAATTGTTAAAACAGATTCATTAGTTTTAGTCGATATTACCTAAACTTGATTATCATTAACAATGTTTGTAAACAACCTTTTTTACATTGCAGATTTTGTTACGTGGGTGGCTTTTAATTTTCATGTTCTTAAAAAAGTTCTAGTTAACAAAAAATGTACGAAAAAAATGAAAATATAAATTTTGTTTCAAAATTCACGTTTTATTGCCTTCTCAAGGTGTACTATGTGTTATATATAAATAATCATAACTCTATATAGAAAATAAGATAATAAAAAGTATCCGATAAGTAAAGACGCCGTCAAGTCAAATATTATTTATTTTAGAATTTACTCCTATTCAGAACCTCAATATTTTTCAGTTTTTCACCAAAATTTAGCTAGTCGTAAATAAAATTATGAATTACCTTTTCATTGTAGTAATTTTTATGAATGACAACTAAATTATATAATAATTATTTCATAAGAACAAATACAGGAATATGTATAAGCCAACGGCATGCTAATTTAATACGAATGCCCACTGCCTATCTACATTTACGTAATGTGGTAGTAGCCGATGATAATTTTTTAAAGGTACCCTTTTTGCATTAACAATTCTTTTTGCTTAAAAAGGAAATACAACAAGGTCAAAAAACCTCTTCCTCAACGGGAAATAGGTAAGTCGCATGATTAACTTCCCTATAAAATTAGTGTTGCCCAAATTCAGTCTTGGTCTTGCAGTCTTGGTCTTGTTCTTGCGTTTTTGCAAGACCAAGACCAAGACTGACCGTGCAAGACTTGAGCAAGAACAAGACATAGCCTGCAAGACTCTTGCGTCTTGCAGCTAGGACTTAGCGCTATTTCACTGAGTAGTTAGGTGTAACAGTTCGGTGTATAGGTAGGTACGCTTAGGAATTCTATGAGACGCAAAAAACTGTATCAAAGAATATGAAAAACTGGACCTATGCGCATTACGACTAATACCATAAACATAGCGAATAAAAAAATTATTAAAATCAAACTGAGTGCATGCATAGTTATGTTTTAACCATCGGCACTTTGATAATGCGGCATCAAAGGTTTTGTACTTACTTCTCAAAGAAATTTGCCGCTTTTCGGAAGTACATGGTTATGATACACGCGCCGGCGGCTTCTTTTGAAATCTAAAACAATCGTTGCCGCCACGCCGAAATAATAACATTTGACACTATTTGATTGCCGCCATAGGGTGTAGGTATACTCATGCAAAATAATTTCGAATTTTTTTACACGCTTTATATTATTGTTTGATTTGCGGCGGCATCCTTATCATAGAGCCGGCACGTGGCGAGGCGGCGCGGTAGAAAGCAAGGATCATAAATGTTTATTAAGAAACAGTTACTTCCATGGAAAACGACATATAGGTCAGTTGATTTTTCGAATTTCTTATCAAATCTTCAGTTATTTATTAATCTGCTTGATCTTTACTATGGCTATATTCATTCAAGCTCACAATGTTCCAATTCTAATACGTTTTTCTAGGATTTAAAGTAAACTTTAATAAATAGTAATAGACTAATAGGTAATTGCAAGACTTGCAAGACTCTTGCTGCAAGACCAAGACCAAGACTGGGAGCGCAAGACCAAGACCAAGACCAGGTGTATTGGCGCAAGACCAAGACCAAGACTGGCTAAGTCTCGTCTTGTTCTTGCGTTTGGGCAACACTATATAAAATAAATTCTAAACAAAAAACAATAATTTAAATGAGTACTAAATATAATGAACGTTCATCATGAATGAATTTTTTTATCTGTGTATATTACATTCAACACAACTTCGATACGTTTTCCTACATTATTTTGTTTCTTCCCTTTATTCTCTTGCACACATTTAAATACGTAACTTCACCGTCCACTCGCAAGGATTCTCCTTTTACAGAGATAATCAGTATTCGAATTGAATTTTGGGAAGAGGGCAGTTAGGATCCCAACCAGGGTAGCCTCGTGTGAACTCCTTGAGGCTATCCTATGATATTCGCGAATCACTATGAATGTCGCATGGACACATGTGGCCCTGTCGAGGAAAAATGCTACCCACTTTCAAAAACCTTAGCGCGAGAATAAATTGGATTGTACCAGCTGATATTTTCAAACATAACCCACTAGTACGTAACCACAAGTTTGTTCCGTATCTAGTGTTTGTCAAGTTGGTCCCCCATATATTGACAGGACAAGGTTTTCATCAAAGAAAATTTTTGGAAAATACACAGGAAATTTGGATAGTATTTTTATATGGAAAAACCATCATGTTATAAATTTTGACGTCTTGGCATTGTTTGATACAGCTGATTTTGCATAGAGCATTCCCTTATGATGTGTACAATAAATAAAAAAAAGAATATTTCAACCAAAGGGGTGAAAGTGGTTGGCAAGGTTTGTATGGAATATTTTTGTTTTTGATCAGATTTACTTGAAACATTATTTTAATGCTCATTCATATAAAGTTAATGAAATACCCATTTCAACATTTTAAAAAATTCAACCTCTGCAAGAAGGTGAAAGGGCTTTGCAAATATTGCATAGAACATTTCGGTTTTTGGACAGATTTACTTGAAACTTGATTAAAAAATTCAACCTCTCAGAGGTGTGAAAAGTAGTTGCAATACCTTGCCTTCTAGATCTAAAAACCTGGTTTTTGCCAATTTTGGACCTCCCCCATTTGTTAACGCACATTTTTTCGAAGTTTAAAAATATACAAGGATGCTTAACTTTTCCCCGTCTACAACATGGAACAACTCCCGTCCGGTAACAAATTTATGTCGGGAAAATTCTCTACCGACTGGACTATATATTTTTTGTGATCAGATATACTTGAAACATAGTCTTAATGCTCTCTTATTTAATTAGTGAAACACCTATCTAGCATTTTAAAAAATTCAACTTGTGAAGGAGGGGGATGATGTTTAGGACATATTTTATTTGTGGTTGAATTTACTCGAAACTTGTTATTTAGATATGCTCGTTGATATAATTAATCAAATGAAAAGAGGCTGCAACGTTTTTATGGAACATATTTTATTTGTAGTCGAATTTACTTGAAGGTTGCTCTTAATATTTAGTGTTAAAATTAAGCAAAAACGTGCTTTGGCAATTTTTAAAAATCAACCCTTAAGGATGAAATGTTGTTGCTACGTTTGTATTTGAAATTTAAGATGGCGACATTACATAAAATTATAACTTTGTAAGGGTAAATTGGGAGTTAAAATGTTTTATATAGAAACAGTATTAATTTCTGTGAGCGAAGGCACAGGAAAAAGATAGTATAAGTATATATATCAAAACTTGTTTAAATAACATCGTAGATGTTCGTTACATTATTGGGCTAAATTTACTGAAACAGAGCTCGTAAAGCAATTCGGTTAAAATACGCAATTTTAGCAAAAAATCATTTTCCCTGCTATTTGTAAACTTCCACTGCCGTTCCACCTTAAATTGCAAATGGAAAATCGAGTCAAGTAGGTTGATGTGATCGAAATGTAATTGTACCTACATATAGCAAAAACTAATAAAAATGCGCGATGTTCGTATTTCAACAAAATTAATACCCAAAACCAATAGATTGAAAGCACTCGCACTAAAAACGACATTACATTGATGGTAATCATACAATAGTATAGCATGTCATTAAGCCTTCAAATTAATAAATTGCATTGTGTAATTCGCATCATTTTTACTTTTCACTATCTTTATCTTAGGGTCAAATTATCTACTCCCAATTATCTCCCTCTTAACATATTCATCATCTACGAAACATAATTATTTTGTTCGGATTTTTCAAAACGATAATTTAAATTTAACGATATGAAACACATTACGAATATTACGAGCACTGTTTGTGATTATTAAAACTATTTGTTACGTTTTAAATTTCTTTTTTTAATATTTATTATAAGGTATGAAACTATTATTAATTAGATACATAAAGTATCACTAATTGGTTTAAAAATGCAATATATTTTGAAGTTTTAATAAAAATCATTTTCTACCACTCGCATTACACGCTTTTTGAATTTTAATAGAGCGTTATTACAAGAATTAGCCGTTAATAACTGACTCCATTATGGTGCAGTATTGACCCTCAACTAAGACCCTTTGTTCTCGGAGCATTTCAACTTACTTACATTTTTGTTTCTATTTTCCGTCCGACCGATTTTATAAAAGCCCTTCGAACCCCCAATTGATAAAGAACGAACGGCATCATTTGCATTAGGGTTGCACTTCTATCCGTTCCAAATTAAAAAAATAATGCTCCGTTATATTGCAAATACCATTTCCTCTATATTGTTACTAAATCGCTTTCGAGCGTATTAGTCTATCGGTTTAATAACATTTTCTTTAATTTTGTTTAATTACTTTCAAAAATCGAGTATTATTGAACATAACGGAAAGGTAAATACTAGGGTTTATACAAAAACCGACATTTTAGAAAACCGGTTTTGAATAGTAATTTTTCCAGAAAACCGATTTTAACGGGTTTCGAACTTTTATAAAAAAATTTTTTTAGTAGAACAAAGAAATAATAGTTGACCAGGATTAAATAACTTTAAAAACAATAATTCGTAGCTATCCTTACTATCATCTTCTCCCTCTGGTAATCCCCGCTCCTGACTAATCGAAATTTTGGGAAATAAACTAACGCAACCTAACTTAACCTTAACCTAACCTACCCTAATATAACAAAAAACACAACTGGTTTGGATTTTGATAAAATCTTATTATAGCATTCCAGTCCCATTTACAATTATTTATTTTTATTAAATTAGAAGATCCCCAAGTCCATCAGAGGCTATAAAGAGGCCGGTATGTGTTATANTAAAAAACCGGTTTTCGAATTTCATAATTTTCTCAAAAAAAAATTTTAAAACCGGTTTTTAAAAACCGACAAACCCTAGTAAATACGTCGTAACTGCGGCACTCACACCAAAAAATTAGATATTCCAAGAATTCGGAGTGTGTTGGAACGCTAGCTAATGTAAATAAGGGATGGTAATTCGTTCATATGTGTTATCACTCTGTCCAGTAAAATGTCTCCGAACGGGCAGTAATAATACCGGTAACGTAAAAGACTGCTAGCTTATAGCAACGTTTCTCAATGTGTTC